TTGATTATTTAGGATTTTCAGAAAATCAAAAAGTATATATCTTCATGTAAATGATTCAAAAGACACCAGAGAATATTATTTTAAACAACTCTATGTAAAACTGTGATTACCATTTTCAATAGGGTGGTCGATGGTATAAAAAAAAACACAGCAATTTGTGGTAATTCTATTGATTGGTATTGCCATTTTCAACTACTAAGTCACTGCATTTTTATGACCAACTGTGACTATTATTCACAAAGGAATATAGCTGTACATTTTTTACCTAACTGAAATGTGCTGTCTTGTCTTTGGAAAATAGTGAACATAAATGTCTACATAAGTATTAGTATTTATTCATTCATTCATTCATTCATTCATTCATTTATTTACTTAAAATATTTATTTATTTTTACAAGCACTGGGGTACAGGCCAGAGGGCGGGAGGGTGAGAGAATTCACTAGAAACAAAGCAGGGACAGGACAGGCAGAAGGACTGAAATACACTGCTGAGGGTTGCAGCAGGCTTGACAGGAGAGGTCTGCTGCACCATGTGGGAATCTCCCTGGCCCGCCGGTAATCAAACTGGAGCTGCAGAGGCTGCAGACAGCTTCACAGCACTGCGCTCAACCCGCTGCACCACCAGGGAGCCCAACATAAGTATTAGTTTAAATACACTTAGGTCCACCTAGCTTATCAATTATTTCTTTCTCTTTTGTCAGTCATGTCTTTTGTGTTCTAACCCACAATCATGTAAATTTCATATGTTCTACAGTTTTTTTAATTTTTCATTTAGGTGTATGATCCATTTTTTTTTTGTGTGTGTGAAAGTTATTAGCTGTGTCCAGACTCATATTTTGACATGTGACTGGTCCTTTGTCCCTGCATCATTTGTTGAAAAGACTATCTCACTATGTATAGTTTCTGACTTTTTTGTAAAAACTCAGCTGACTAAATTTAAGTGGATTGTTTCATGGATTATCTGTTCTGTTCTTTGGCCTATTTTTCTATGTTTTTACTAATAGCACACTCTCTTGATTACAATAGTTGTAGAATATTACGTGAAATTGTATAGTAACATTCCTCTGACTTTTGTTCTTTTCTTTTTCTTCAATTATCTAAAAGGTCAGGATAATTAGAAGAAAGGAGGGGAGAAGAAGATGCTTGCACAGACATAACCAGGAAAATAGAGCTGCTTGATGTTGCTATTTTCCTTCAATATTATGTTGGATATTCTGGGCCTTTTTCCTCTCCATAAGATTTTAGAATGATTTTGTCAATTTCCACAAAGTAACTTGCTGGAAATTTTTTATTTGGGATTGCACTGAATTTCTAGATCAAGTTGTGGAGAATTGGCATCTTGGTAACAGTGAATCTCCCTATCCACCAGCATTGAACTACCTCTCCTTTTATTTAGTTCTTGTTCGATTTTTCCCATCAAAGTTTTATAGTTTTTCCTCATTACTTTTTTTTTTAATTTTTCTGTTGGATTTATAACTAAGAATTTCATTTTCTGGGATACTAATGTAATTTTATGTATTTTTAATTTCACATTCCACTTGTTTATTTTGGTATGTAGGAAAATGTTTGTCTTTTGTTTGTTCACCTTATATCCTGAAAACTTGCTAATATCACCTTTTTTTTTTGTAGATTACTTCAGATTTTCTGCATAATCATGTATTCAAATTCATATTTATTTCTTCCTTTTCAATCTGTTTTTCTTTAATTTCCTTTACTCATCCTACTGCATTAATAAGACTTCAGTTTGATTTCATAAGGAATGATAAGAGGGGGCATCCTTATAGTGTTACTGACCTTAGCAATAATGTTTCTAAGTTGTCATCATTAAGTATGCTATTAATTTTAGTTTTTTTGTGGATAGAATTTTTTTTAAATCATTTAGTTGGCTGCCCTCTAATTTTGTTTTGCTGAAATCTCTAACACCTGAATTTTGATATTATATTTTCCAAATTATTTGTGTCTATCTATTTATCTGACCCTGTGATTTTTCTGCATTACCAGATGTGATGGATTAGATTAGTTAATTTTGGAGTGTTGAATATATGATTTTTATGACTTGATCGGGTGTCCAGTTATTAAATCATAACTGTACTGTCTGATCAAATTTTAAACATTATTAGTAGGCTATTTTGTTAGTTTTTCAGAAGAAATTGATACTAATAGTATAATTTTGAAATTTTTCAAAATTATTGTGTGGATAGTTGTAGATATTTAATTATAGGAAATGATAAGTATTCTACCAAAATATTAGATAATTTCTGTTGAAGTTTAAGAACAAAGTATATCATTATTATGGAAGTTTCATTAAATTGAATAACCTTTATAAAGTTTTTATTATAAAACTATTTCCCTCACATAAAGTCTATTACATTCTGCACAGTTATCTGTGAAATTTAGGAGGTGATTGTTGATGGAAGTAGGAGTTCTAATTATCATATATAATTGCTGAATTTTATAAACATTCACAACTTTTCGGTTGCAAGGCAGAATTTACATCACTGGAAACTACTTTATTCAAATTCTCAACTATTTTACATAGTCTATTTTAGGGGATAAGATTTTCATATTGAAAAGAAAATAAGGGATGATCAGTTGAAGCTGTGTAAACAACTGGATAGTAGTGATCGTGTTTTTCTCTGAAACGAAAGCAATGTGCACTAAATCTTAAATAATTTTAATTCTTCAGCAAATCTAGATTGATATTTCACAACCTTGGCTGCACACTACAATCACTTGGAGAACTTGGGGAAAAAAAAATTAGAGCACACAGTACTTGAGTCCTATTCTCAGTGTTGATTTAATTCTTTTGGGGTCAGGCCCATAAACTGACAATTTTAAAGAGTACCTTCAGATGATTCCATTGTGCAGCCATGTTGAAAACCAATGATCTAAACAAAGTGATTTATTTAAAACAGACATAATGATTTGGGTGACTAATATAGTCTTGCTCATTTTGTAGCTTTGCAGAGGCAGGTGTCCCAGCTTAAGCATATTCTGTGTCCCTAAATGTTGCTGTTCTTTTTATCTGGTAGATTTCCATTTACCCTTTCCCCATCCCTAGTCATGTTGAGGAAAATAAGTTAAAAAAAAAGAAAGAAAGAAAGAAAGAAAAGAGAAGAAGTTCCCGTATGCATTATTTTTCATAAGCTCTTATTGTAAAACTTGGGTGAATGGGATGGAAAAGTGGAATTAAACCACAGGCTGAAAAAAAAAAAAAAACACAGGCTGAAATAAAAATTTGCATCAATTTCATTAGAAAACAAAATCTTACCTCCCTCCATTAGTTTAATTCATTAAGATTTGTTTTTTTTTTTTTTTTTTTTTTTTTTAAGATTTATTTATTTATTTATTTATTCATACAAGCACTGGGTACAGTCAGAAGCGCGGAGGGTGAGAGAATTCACCAGAGTCAGAGCAGGATGCAGAACAGGCAGACGGACCGAAGTACACTGCTGAGGGGAGCAGCGGGCGGCAGGAGAGGTCTGCGCGCCATGTGGGACCCTCCTCCGGTGGCCGGGGAGCAGCCGGGGATCGAACCGGCACTGCAGAGGCTGCGGGCAGCTTCGCAACCCCGCGCTCAACCACTGCGCCACCGGGGAAGCCCTAATTCATTAAGATTTGAATGTTTAAGTAAATTACGGTTATCATTTATGAATATAAGCAGAGTATAAGCATTTTAACAAGAACTCAGTAAAAGAAATATTGATAAAATAACATTTATTGATAAACAGTTTGTACCTTAGATATTTGGATTTATGAAAAACTTAATTTATTTAAATATATGCATTAAATTTTTGTATATGTATGATTTTCAGCAGCAGAAACTTCAAATCTAAATTTTGACAAAAATGTGGATCTTGATATTTACTCTTCTGCCACTGAAAAGTCAAGGGAAAATGTCATTTTTGAAGGAAATTTTAATGAGAAAAGAATAGCTAAAGAGAATAATCAAATATCTAATGATTCCTGCATGTCATTTGAGAAGAAACATTCTTTGCCAGTGATCGATTTAGAAGAATCTTTCATTAAAACAAAAGTAGCCGAAGACATTGAGGAATCCTGGGAATTTAGCAGTCTGCATGAAAGGACAAACTTTGAAAATTCTAAAACTGCAGCATCACCACTGGTAAGTCTCTTTAATTTTTATTATATTATTTTTTTTAAAGAAATGCCATAAGAAAAGTTTATATTGGCACAATCTGTTTTTAAATGTTACTTCCTATTGATTAAAATGTGTCATCTTATCATGAAGCAATAAAAAGTGACTCATGAAAAATAATGTTATGACTTAGAGGACAAATTCTAATATGGTAAATTACATTATAAAATTTTTTGAGACAAATAATACTTGAAGTCATATCTCATGCAGTAAGAGTGCTATTAACTTTTCTAAATGAAATTCATAATTATGAGTAATTTAGTACAATAAATCCTTCCTTGATTTTTACTGCATAGTCACTAGTTAAGATAAAGTTAATGCAGATACCATAGAGAAGACCAGTTTTGTGAATTAATGTAAATATAGTATATAGAAGATAATTCAGGAATATGTGTAATAGATAAATAAGGGTGTACTTTTTGTTTTTCTTACAGGAAAAAAAAGGTAAAGTAGCTCATTAATGCATCATTGCCAAATTTTAAAGCTATATTTGAATCTGTCATATATATTTAAAAGCTTAAGCAATCATAGTTATTAATAATCTTGATTAAACTTGAAATGTTAAAGAGCTTCTATCATATTTTGCTCACATATATTATTTATTAAAATAAGTGGTAAAGTATTGCATTATCAAGTTAGTGCTTTACACATACATGTATAATCTACTTTTATTCCCATCCCTAATAACTGGAACTGAACTGTTTTTATTCTCCTACTACACCTGTAAAAGCCATTCCCTGAGCTAAAAACTACTTAGGATCTGATTTGCTACTGTAGAAAATTCAAGAGTGGGTTGTAGGGACATTTTTTATTTTTCTCAGGTACCATCATTTATATCATTGTCAATATTTTGGAAGCACAGGGTCTCATACATCTAGTGATGTACCTGCCATCAAAGCACTAATATTCCACTATACTCCATAGTGTTCTCTTTCCAAACTGTTCCCATCTCTTCTCCTTGCCTTTGAATGTCTCAGGTCTACGATCAGCTTTCAAGAGTTGCTTTAAAAGTTTGTCTTTGACCTTTTGTATGATTTCTCTCTATTCCACATATAAATGTCACCATACACTGTTTATCTTTCTCTTTCTACCTTATTTCACTTGTCATAATTCCTTCAGCTGCATCAGTGTTGCTGTAAATGGCATGAGATTAAGGTTTTTGAGCACTGAGTAGTATTCCATTGTGTATATATACCTCATCTGCTTGATTCAGTCATCTATTTGGGGGTACTTTGGTTGTTTCAATAGCTTCTCTTTTGTAAATAGAGCTGCATTAAACATAGGAGTGTACATTTTCTTTCAGATTCATGTTTTTGTATTCTTCAGGAATATATCTAAAAGTAGAATTCCTGGGTTATATGGTAGATCCATTTTTAATCTTTTGAGAAATCACCATATAATATGATGTCTGTACCAGCATAAAGTCCCATGAACAGTGTAAGTTGGTTCTTTTTTTTTTCTACATCTTCACCAGCCCTTGTTGTTTCTGGTCCTTTTGATATGGGCCATTCTCACTGGTACAAGGTGGTATCACATTGCGGTTTTGATTTGCATTTTCCTAATGATAAATGAGAATGAGCATGTTTCATGTGCCTGTTTGCCATCTGTATGTCTTCTTTGGAGAAGTACATATTTAGCTCTTATTTCCATGCTTGAATGGGTTATTTGTTTACATTTTGATGAGTGATATGAGCTCTTTGTATCTTTGATACCAGTCCCTTTTCAGGTGCATGGTGTACAGATATTTTTTCTCATTTAGCAGAGTGTCTCTTCATTTTATTACTATTTCTTTTGCTGTGTAGAACTTTCTAGTTTGATGTCACCTCAGTTGTTTTCTTGTTTCTTGTTTCCTTGCTCCTGGAGATGAATCCCCCGAAGTCATCACTGGAGCTTATGCTGTGAGGTAGTTTGCCAATGCTTTCATCTATGTATGGTATGGTCACATTTCATCCATCTTTAGTCATTTCAAATTGTCTTTTGTGTCTGGTTTGAAATATTGGTCTAGTTTCATTCTTTTGTTTGTGGCTGTGCAGTTTAACCAACACCATTTGTTGAAGAGGTTTTCCCTGTTTCAGTGCATAGTCTTGACTCCTCTGTCATAGATTAACTATCCATATAAGTGAAGGTTTAAATCTGCACTCTTTATTCTATCCCATTTGTGTGTGTGGGTATGGGTGTGTGTGTCCAGGATCACACTGTTTTAATTATTATGGCTTTAACATGTAACTTGAGATCTGAAAGTGTGTGATACTGTCATTCTATCTCTTTTTGTCAGGGTTGATTTGGATATTTGGGGTCTTTTGTTGGTTCCATATGAACTCAGTAATGATGTTCCATTTCTTTGAAGAATAAATGTCAGTTAAAACAATTAATTTTTTGAAGATTTTACTTATTTATGCATACAAAAGCTGGGGTACAAGCCAGAGGTGTAGGGGTGAGAGGATACACCAGAGACAGAGTGGGGAACAGAACAGGCAGATTGACTGAAATACACTGCTGAGGGGAGCAGCGGGCAAGTCAGGAGAAGTCTACTGCACCATGTGGGTTGCTCCCTGACTGGCTGGGGATCGAACCTGTGCTGCAGAGGCTGTGGATAGCTTCATAGTTTGCGTCTTAACCCCTTGCACCACCAGAGAGACCCTAAATCAACTAAATTTTTATTAGGATTTCAATGAATCATTTTTTTCCCCTTGGGTAGGATGGCAATTTTGACAATGATGATTCTTCAATCCATGGGCTCAGGATATCTTTCCATTTCTTTCTGTGTGCTTCTATTTCTTTTAACAATTTCTTATAATTTTCTTTGTATAGGCCCTTCACCTCTTTTGTTAGGTTACTCCTACATACGTATTTTTGGTGTGATCATAAATGGGATCATTTTCTTGATGTAGTCCCCTACTAGCTCATTATTGCATATATCAAAGCAACTGATATTTTTGTTTATTGATTTTTGTCACCTTCCACTTTGTTGAACTGGTCTATATTGTTTTAATTAGTTTTTCAGTTGCATCTTTAGGGTTCTCCATGTTTATCATCATGTCATCTAAAAATAATGACAGCTTTAATTCTTTGCTCCCAATTTGTATTTATTTTATCTTTCTCTTACTATTTTTTCTATCTAGAACTTCCAATACCATGTGGACTAGAAATTATGATTGTTGATAGCCTTGTCTTATACAAAATCTTCATGGAAAGGCTTTCAGTTTTCCATCATTTAATGCGATGTTAGGTGAGGGTTTGTCTTATATGAATTTCATTGTGTAAAGATATAATTTATCTCTACTTTTTAGGGTTTTTCAATATAATGGATATTGAATTTCATCCATTGCTTCCTTGGCATCAAAATTTTTCATGTCATTTTTATGTCATTTTGTTGTTGTTGATTTGATAAGTTAAGTTGATTGATTTTCAAATGTTTAACTATCCTTGTGTTTCTGGTATAAATTCCATTTAGTCATGTTGTATAATCTCTTTAGTGCATCATTGGTTTCATCTTAATAAAATTTTGTTAGGAATTTGCATTTGTGCTGATTAGGGAAATTGATCTGTAGTTTTACTGTATTTTTTGTTTGGTTTTGGTATTAAAGTAGTGTTGATATCATAAAAAGTATTTGGAAGTGTTGCTTCTCGCTCAATTTTTGGGAAGAGTTTGAGCAGGATAGGTATTAGTTCATTTTGAAAATTTGGTGGAACATGCTTGTGACTATGTCTTATCCTGGAATTTTGTTTTTGGGGGAGGGATTTGATTACTATTTCAGTTTCCTCACTTTTGACTGGTTTGTTCTGGTTTTCTGCATCTTCCCTATTCAGTCTGTGATGATTCTATAATTCTGACAATCTCTCTATCTCTTCAATATTATTGAACTCGTTAACACATAAATATTCATAGTATTCTCTTATCCTTTGAATTTCTAAATTGTACATTATAACTTTTTCTCTTTCATGTTTGATTCTGTTATTCGAGCTTTTTCACTTTTTTTCATAGTGCACCTAGCTAGATGTTTGTCTATTTCATTTATTTTTTCAAAACCAGCTTTTGTTTTGATTGATCTTTTGGAAAGATTTTTTTTTAATTTCTATATCATTTATTTCTGCTGTAACTTTTATAACTTCCTTTATTTTGTTGACATTTGGTATTATCTTTTATTTTTCTCTAGTTCCTCAGGAGGAAATATAGGATATTTCTTTGTGTTCTTTCTTTTTTTTCTTGATGTGGACCTTTATTTCTATCTACTTCTCTTTTAGTACTGCTTTTTCTGTGTCCCTTGTTCTGAAAAGCTGTGTCCTCATTATCATTCTCTTGAGATTTATTTTTCTATTTATTTTATTTCCTCATTAACCCAGTATTCCTCAAGAAGTGTGTTGTTCAGTATTCATGTATTAGAGGAATTCCCTTATTTCTTTTTTTGTAGTTCATCTATATTTTGTATAGTTTGGTACCTTTATGGTAATTAAAGATGATTGGTATGATTTCCATCTTCATAAATTTGTTGATACTTGCCTTCTGATCCAATATCTGGTCAGTTCAGGAGAATATCCTGTGTGTACTTGAGAAAAATGTGTATTCTGCTTTTACTGGGGTGAAGGGCCCTATAGATGTCTATTAGATGTATGGTCAAATTCTGTTTAGAGCTAGTTTTTCCATATTCATTTTCTGTCTCATTTATCTGTCCATAGCTGAGAGTGGGCTGTTGAAGTCTCCTACCCAAATGTGTTTTATCCCATATTAGTTTGCAGAATTGATAGTAGTTGCCTAGTATATTTTAGTGCTCCTTCATTTGGTGATATACATTAGTGGGTATTATATCTTCCTGCTGTATTATTCTCTTAATCATTATGTACTGTCCATCCTTGTCTTGTTAACTTTTTTAACTGGAAATCTATTTTGTCTGATATAAGTATGGCTGTCCCCACCTTCATTTGTTCCCATGTACTTGTAGGATTGTTTTCCAACCTTTTACATTTAT